AAATGACAACAAAACCAGTGATAACTGGAGTTGTTAATGAAACGATAACCGAATCAGAAATATCGACAACAACTGGAATGCCAAGTATCACTACCGTTCCGCCAGCTGAAAAAGAAGCTACAACGAAATTGACTACTGTTTCAGAAATTAGAGTTGAAACAACTACGTCATCGGAAATCCCAGCTGTTCAAGTTAGTCAAGAGACAACAACACCATCAATGGAATCATCAAGCACAATTATTCCTGATGAAGGTGGAATGACAACTGTCAAGGTAATTAGTGTTGGAACATCAACGACCATATCGCCAATAGAAGGCGAAGAAACAACTACGTCATCGGAAATACCTGCTGTTCAAGTTGGTATGGAGACAACGACAGTATCATCAAGTACAATTATTCCGGATGAAGGTGAAATGACAACTGCCAAGGAAATCGGTGTTAAAACAACTACGACCTTATCACCAATAGAAGGTGAAGAAACAACCACGTCATCGGAAATACCTTCAGTTCAAGTTGGTATCAAGACCACAGCCGCACCATCAACAGAAACCGATATAACTGCAAAAGAACCCGGAACAAGTACAATTAGACCGATCGAAGGTGAAATAACAACAGAATCTACTGTTTCGGAAATTGATATTAAGACAACCACACCTTCAGTGATATTTATCACAGAAAAACCAATCACAAGTGCTGTTGAAACCGAAACTACGGAAACNAACAACAGAATCTACTGTTTCGGAAATTGATGTTAAGACAACCACACCTTCAGTGATCACAGAAAAACCAATCACAAGTACTGTTGAAACCGAACCTACCGAAACAAGAATTCCTGCCGCTCAGATGGAAGGTGAAACTACCACTACTGCTGCAATTTCAACAACAACTGAAGCAGCATCAACTGCGGAAACAGAATTACCCGAAAGAAGTACAATAAGTGAACGGCCAATAAAAGGTGGTGATGATTTTGAACATACAACATTATCTGAAATGATTGATGAAACATCAACGACAACCAAACCAGAACTTGCCGCATCAACTGAAAAATCAACAACAACAACATCATTTATAGATGGATTAATAACAACTGTTAAAGATTTTATTACATCAACATTACCTCCAATGATAGAAGAACATACAACAATAAAACCAGGTAAAGAAACTGAAATGGGTATAATCGAAATGAATAAAACAACACCCGATGAAAAAGAATCAATACTTGTTACTACTACAGAATTACCTATTGAAAAAGAAACACAAGCAACAGGTGAATTCACTTTGTCAACAATGAAACAACAAACTGAGGAAGCAGTTACCGATAATGTAACAACAACAGCCATACCTATCGATGTATCAAAAATTGAAACAACAACAACAGCGTCACAAACAGAATTGTCTACAGTTGAAGAAACAACAACAACATCAACATTTGAAATTTCAACAACAGAATCTACAGAAAGTGCTAAGATAACCGAATCAGAAATGCCATCTGTTCAAGTTGGTGGTGTAGAAACAACAACAACAATGTCAGAAATTTCAGAAACAACCGGAAGACCGACTGTTTTTACAACACCATCGGAATTATCTTCAACCGCTATGGAAGAGGAAACAAGTACAACATCATCATCTATCGAAGATAAGATAACTACGGAAAAAGAAATGCCTGCAATTCAAGTTGGTATCGAAACAACTACTACTACAGGCGTAATAAGTACCGTTGAAAGTGAAATGACAACAAAACCAACTGTTTCAGAAATCGGTGTAGATACGAAAACCACATCCGAAATATCATCGACAACTGAAATACCAAGTATCACTACGGTTCCATCAGTTGAAAAAGAAGAAGCTACAACGAAATTGACTACTGTTTCAGAAATTAGCGTTGAAACAACTACGTCATCGGAAATACCTTCAGTTCAAGTTGGAATGGAGACAACGACAACATCATCAAGCACAATTATTCCTGATGAAGGTGAAATGACAACTGTCAAGGAAATCGATGTAAAAACAACCACGACCTTATCACCGATAGAAGGTGAAGAAACAACTGCGTCATCGGAAATTCCATCTGTTCAAGTTGGTCAAGAGACAACAACACCATCAACGGAATTGCCGACAACTTCTTCAAGTAAAATTGTTCCTGGCGAAGTTGAAATGACAACAGCCAAGGAAATCAGTGTTGAAACAACAACAACCATATCACCAATAGAAGGTGAAGAAACAACTACCTCATCGGAAATACCTTCAGTTCAAGTTGGTATCAAAACCACAGCCGCACCATCAACAGAAACTGATATAACTGAACCCGGAACGAGTACAATTAGACCAATCGAAGGTGAAATAACAACAGAATCTGTTTCGGAAATTGATGTTAAGACAACCACACCTTCTGTGATATTTATCACAGAAAAACCAATCACAAGTACTGCTGAAACCGAAACTACGGAATCAAGAATTCCTGCCGTTCAGATTGAAGGTGAAACTACCACTACTTCTCCAATTTCAACAACAACTGAAGCTATATCAACAGCGGAAACTGAATTACCAGAAAGAAGTACAATAAGTGAACTACCGAAAGAATCGGTTACAAGTGCAGTTGTACCGGAGAAAATTGAAACAACAACCATGGAAGAAGAGACGAAAACCACAACTAGTATACCAGAAATATCGACAATCAGTGAAATTTCAAAAGATAAATTTACAACAATTTCAACAATTGGTGAATCTACAACTGTTTCGTCAACAGAATCTACTAAATTTGAACCAGATTTTACAACTGAAACTTTAGAATCTAGTACCATTCCAGCAATTGAAAAAGAAATATCGACCACCATGAAACCAGGAATACCAGGTGAAGGAATGACTCGAACA